CCGTTTCTCTCCTCGTCTCGCTCTCTTGCTCATCTCTTTGGGAACATCAAAGGTATTAGTGCGTTATTTTCAGGTAGGGAGCCTTTGGGGCTTTAGTGGTGTTTCTGTGGGAGCTTCTGTTTATCTCTCCTTCGCGGAGCCCTTTTGCAGTCAAACGCTCCCGAAATGTCCCCAAACGGAGAGCAGCAGTGTGTTAAAAAGGCCTTCTGACAGCAACTCTGCTCTCTTCTCTGTCACGCCGCGTGACCGCTTGGTGTACGCCTCTGGCACTGTCCGGTCTACTGCGTCCAATAATGCAGCCTACATAGACGGGAGTGAGACGGAGAGAGAGAGTGACACACGGACACATCACACGCATACAGATCCGGACACACAAGTTACATGGACGCACATGCACAGGAACTCTGACAAAACTCAAAGAGACACAAAACTCGGAGGGAACACACACATCAGTTCACACTCCCCAGTAGCCAAATAAGTGCGCCTACACATACCCTCACACACACTTTGAATTCTGTAGCAAAGTGCTCGGAAGTGTATTTGTGTTGTTTTGTTAGCTCTCACAGAATGAGCTCTCCAAGTGCACATTGATCCATCCATCTGTCCTCTGTAGCCAGAAAAAAAAGGTGTCCGGCCCTAGATTTGAAATGGGAAGAGGCTGGAAATGTATTTACCTGTTGGACGGTTTCAACACTGTGCCGAACCGGCCAAGCAGTGAACACCGCTATGTGAAGCCAAGAAAAACCCATTTCTTTTAATGAAAACAGACAGAATGATACATACAGAGGAGGAGAAGGATGCAGAGGGAGAGACAAGAAGACGGAGGTGGAGAGAGCAAAGAATAATAGATGTGGAGATGAAATAGTGAAGGGGCTGTGAGCAGGACAGACTTTTTCCTGGCAAACTTTTCTGCGTGCGAATGTTAGTTTATATACAATGTGGTGAGGGTGTGTATGAGATATAGGAGAGACAGAGAGAGACACACAATATGTAGCATGTTTGCTTGCGTGCATTGTCCAGAGAATAACCCAGCTGAGTCCCTCACGGCTTAGTAATGCCAAACAGGAAATCAATGGTGTGTGTGTGTGTGTGTGTGTGTGTGTGTGTGTGTGTGTGTGTGTGTGTGTGTGTGTGAGTGTGAGTGAGTGAGTGAGTGTGAGAGTGAGAGAGAGAGAGAGGTCTGCCCACAGGCCAAAGGCAGACCCGTGCCAGGGAAAGCAGGGCAGCGACATCCTTCTCTCCCCCTGCTGTATTCCCTATCTCCAAATCGATGTCCCCGCTCAGTTTAGCAGTGAAGCCAATCAGTCTTGCTATGACAAAATGCTATGCTATGACAAAACCACATCTGGGCTCTCCGTAGCAACTCGGATCAATTGTAATGCAGGATCTCGATCCACTTTATGCAGCGATAAGTCTCACGAATGATAACGCTGCACTGCACAACAGAGGCCCTGTTGTTCTATATTATTTCTCTGAATGGCTTAGGGGCTGCATTTCGGCACTGAGCGCACATTATCTATCCATGAAGATGTTTTCATGCAATACAAGGACTGAGACTCATTCCTTGACTTCAACTGATATTTTAGAATATATAGTGGAGTTACTGCAAAAAAAACAAAACAGAAATGAGGCATATTTGCGGTTTTAAGCTTTCAGCTTTACTTTAAAGCTGCTATAATCTATATTTTTATATGAACAATATAATCAAATATAATTCAATTATTATTGATAACAATTTAAAAGCAGTGTCTTGTAGTGACAGACCCACAGATAATCATCAGCTACTGTAAATCTGCAGCTCCGCTCATAGTTTTAGCGCCTTTTGGCTCATTGATTTGGTTTTAGTTCACTAACGATGTCATTTAAAAAGAACGTCTGATAAATCTACTGTACACTACCTGCCCAGCACCAAAGAGACAAATGAAGGTAGTGAAAGCTTCCTTGAGCAAAACATTTAGCAAATATTGGATTTTTTATTTTTTTTTTAATTGGACATTTTACAGCTTGACCCAAACATGACCCCAAAAGAATCTTCTGAACGAGTAAACACCGTAAGCTACTGATTGCTAACACATTTGCCGTATCAACTTAATATGTTTAAGAACCACTTCTGCTCCAGATGATTATTTTAAAGGGAAATGCTAAAAGCTTAAACTTGCAAATATGCTTTTGTATATTTCTTTGAGAAACTTTCTGATTATATTTGACTTGTGTTTAAGTCTGTGTGTTGTCCAAGCAGCAACAGACGAGGTACAGTCCATTGACGTAGCAGTTTCAAATCCCTACTCAAGTGTTAACAGCTGTCATTTTCATCAGAGCTGAATTTTAACCTAGAAGTTAAAAGATAAAGCAAAATATTTTCTTCCCATACTATGTAAGGTGACTGTATTCGTCACTAGATAATCTCCATCGTGAGCTGCTTTCAGCCGTTGAGCACCGTCTCCAGTACACTGTGCAATGTTGTTTGAGGCAAAAACACCAGGGAACACTACATCATGTCTTCAGCGACCTTTTATGCAAACTTAAAAAAAAAGAAGCAAATTAATCTTTTTGAAAATTCTGATCTGAAGCACTTTAAATGTCATTAGTTGTTAAAGCTGAATGAACATCAAACTGGATTTAGAAGCTACTTTGTTTCTTCTATTTTTCCCAGTGTGTCTCTGTTTGCAAAGGCACTTTTTCTTGGAAGCCACGTGAGAAAGCAATAACCAAAAATCTGACCCGGGTGTTTCAGCTAATCGAGCTTTGTCACCTTTTACCATGTTTCCATCATGTCAGACCTCCAGATGTGTTTATCTTAAATGCTTAACAGTAGGTCAATAGCAAGAAGATGGTGCTCTGCCATCAATGAGAGGCCACGGGTGAAATCCCCGGTCATATGGTGGGAGACACTTCTTTGACAGTCATTGCTGTTCATTGATCTGGATCATAGACCCTCACCAACGCTTACACACACAAACACAAAGCTGCTGACCTCAAGACGAAAAGTGAGAACCTCATTCTCTGTTTCTTTTACTTGTTTTCACTGTCCACTGGTTGTATTTCTGCGGAAATAATAAAGTATGATCGTAAAAACATGTAGTTTGGTGATGGTTTTGTTATTTTCAGAATATGTATCACCCTTTTTTTTTTTTTTTTTTTTATATTCATTTCTTCACACTTCAAAGGCAGACACAAAGCCCTGGCACAAGTAGCACAGAAGCTGCTTTTT